TTCTACTTATACATGTTGAAAGGGTAAACTCTGTAATAAAATCAAAGAATCTCAATGTCATAAGATATAGAGAATCAATGTAAGAGAGGTTCTCATATTCTAATCAGAAATCTTTTTATCATGTCCATGAAAGAATGTCTTTTAATCCATATCTAGATGTTTACAGTGATGCTGAATGCACTTCTTCTCAAGGAAACTTGTTTCAGTAAACTTTTCTCTTTTTTCTTTCTTTCTATACTAAAATTAAGTGTAAGTTTTTATTAGTTTCATAGGCTTTTCCTGGTTTGCCACTGTGGAAATGTATGCGACACACCTACATAGCATCAAATTAACACTTCAACTTAAAATATTAGAATCTTTCTTGTAGAGATAAGAAAATTCTCCAAACATCCACCTGTAGAGCAGGTAATCGCTATCTTGCCCTGCCTCTTCTCAGCTCCTCAGAAGTGATAGAATAAGGAACTGTCAGCTCCAGGAGGCCAGAGCCTAGGTTTCTTCACATAAGAAGAGAAATGAATCAAAGAAGGCAGGATGTGAGAAAGCAAAAATAGAGATCTACATATCTCTCTGTGCTCACCAGGCTAAAGGGCTCTTATCCACCTAGGCTAGGGTAAATGGTGATTTGAAGCAAATGGCCCATTCATCTCTTTAGAGCTATCTTTCAATAAGTTATTTTTGTCCTTTTAACCAAAATATATGGCTTTATTTGATTTTGTCAGTGGTAAGCAAATACACTTAAACATATAAACCCAAGTGGCCTTAGAGATAACTGTAATGTCTGCTTCTCTAAACAGAAAGCCCCATGAGAGCTCTCATGAGCACTGACTCAGGAGTCAGACGTGGGACTTAAGTTGATGTCATTTTGCAATTGGATAATCAAGTCATTAATCATGGGCCAATCATGATCAAACCTCTTGGGATTTTAGTTTCCTATCCTACTTAATAAGGTTTACTTTAGACTTTAAAAGGAACTACTGAGCATAAGAAGAAGAAGAAAAAAAAAAAAAAACACCCAGCACAATCCCAGTTCCTTGCAAATGCTCAAAAAACAGTGTTATTCATAGAAATAATTTACAAATGAATTATTTGTAGCAACTTTATCAATGTAACATCTTTTTAAATGTAGTTTGTTAGCATTTTTGCAAGATGTATTTGTTAGGACACAAAAGATGATTAATTATTCTCAATTTATTAAATCCTGCCTTGAATATTGATGCCCAATGTAAATATCTCTGTAATCAGTGAAATGTTTACATAATTGAACAGTGGTATGGGGGGTGCAGTGTTACATATGTAATGACTTAGCATGTAAGAGACAGGAAAGAAAAGATATACTTAGTATGAACCTGTAAGTCTAAATTGGAGTCTATTCTCCAAGTACCTAGAAAGGGTGGTAGGCATTTTTCATTTCAAAGCATCGCATTATTATTGTATTTGCATAGTGAATATAGTTAACTTTAATTTCTTCCTCTAAGCAAATGACTGAGCCATGAGAAGGACTCAGAGGAGATCTGGAGATGACCTACAAGGGAACAAATTTGTTTAAATTCTCCTCACAAGTACCTGTAATACCGTGTAGAAACTCTGAATCTCAGTTCCTAAGGCAGGGCTGCTGCGGGCTTCTGAGGAACAGAGAATGTGACTTGAGTAACCATTTACAGGACTGTAGAAAGCACCACCATTGCTCTTGTGGACAATGGACAATATATGTGTTTGTATTGTTATCCTCACCTTTCTTTGACATATTTTTATTAGCATCCACATGTTGGAAACAGCTGGTTTTAGTGCCCTGAAGATAATTCTTGGAGAAAATGCAGAAATGAAGAGGACTATAAATTTACCACCTTTACAGGCAAGTTACCCTGTAAAATGAGTTTTGTTTCCCTTGAACAAACACATGAAAGGAGTAGTTGTTGTTCTGTACTCATGGCAGTTGATTCTTTCAGGTTTCTTCCCTGCTCAGAGTAATAGGTGCATAAAGGTATCTCTTGTGATTTGATCAGTTTTTTTTTTTTTTCTGTTGACTAATGATGTTGAGCGTCTTTTAATAGGGTTTTGTTTGGCATCTATATATCTTTTTAAATGAAATCTCTGCTGCAATTATTTGTCCATTTTTTTTCAGGGAAAGAAATTGTTTATAAATTTATCCAGGGTACTACTACTTTGTTGAATATATACTTTGTGATAGTTTCCCCAGTATCAGTTATTTTTTAACTCTCCCATGAGTGGCTTTCAGAAAAGTTTTCACATTTTTGACTTTTCAGTCTGAATCAGTTAGAAATAATATATAGACTTTCCATATATCCATTATCTAGTATCCCTTAATGGTGGTAACATCTTATATGAATTTAGTATTTTTATCACAGTAAGGATATTTACTCTACTATGCCTATCAAAGACCTTATTTTATTTTATTTTACTGTATTTGGTACAGGGTCCCACTACACAGCTCAGACTCACTGTGATCCTCCTGTTTTCAGCTTCCCCAGCACTGGGACTACAGGAGTCCACCACCATACCCGATTTCCATGGCCAGCTCCCTGTGCCCATGGGCAGGGCTAATGTGGCATGTGACACTGGGATCAAATCCTGGTCCCTGTATTTTTCTAAGTATGTGCTTAGTCCACTGAACTATCCCACCAACCCTAAAGACCTTATTTTAAAATTTATCAGTTTTCCAACCATTTATTTATTTATTTATTTATTTATTTATTTATGCTGCCAGGATCCTATTGAGGATTTTTCATTGCCTTCCTTTAGATTCTCCCAGTTCATAACAATCTATTCTTTAGCTATCTTTCTTGCCTCAACATAGTTTTAATTTTCAAGTTGTTTTTAGGTATCATTTAAAAATAGGGATTGTCTTTGTCACTGTAGTGGACATCTTTGCCCAAACCAAAATCATACAATACACTTCTATTTGCTTTCAGAGGTATTATAGTTTCAGATTTTTCATATCAATCTATGATCCGTGTATGTATACTTTGGTATAATATTATTGTGAGTTGCTGGGTTTTATTTTGTTTATTTCTATGGAGGTTCAATTTTTTTCATAAATCATTGTAGGATTAACAATGAAAAGGATCTATTTATTCATCCTTAAATACTTTTTTAACAATTAATTGACCATGCATTTGCAGATCTGTTCTTGGGTTCTGTATTTGAGTTGCAATGTTCTATATATGAGTCTTTTATTAATATGTGATCTTGGTTAATATTATTTTTTAAAATCTAGTTATGTAAGCTTTCCAACATTGCAATTTACCAAAATTGTTTTTCCTGCTATAAGTCTTCTGTTTTCAATATGAACTTTGCAACAAGCATGCTAATATCTAGAAAATTAAAATAATGATTGGTATTCAAGTTTGAGTTACATAGATTATAGGTTAGGTTGGGTCTACCTCATAAATATTGAGTCTTCTGATCATAAATGCAGTTTGTTTCTCCATTTATATGCCCTTTTATTAATAGTTTGCAGTATCTTGTTAGTTTTTAAACTATGTAATGGGATGTTATTGCATGTGCCCTATTTGTTTTAATTTTAGTTTCCAGCAATAGTAGCGGACCTATGGCACATGTATTATTTGCTCTTCCTCTAACATGGAAATCATTAATGTCTGAGGTATTTTTAAACTAAAACCTCAGTAATCAGGTTCAATCACAGTGTCGGTGCTTTGCAATAAATAAGTGGACTTGGGGTTGCAGTTTGGACATTCATTTCTCAAAGGTTTGCCATCACTGATGTAAAAAAATGTGCAGATTTTTATAAATTTTCTCATTGCTTTCAGAAGCATTTATTGAAAATTTTTGAAATTTATTTTGAAAATAAATATATTGCTTTTGAAAAGAAAACTTTGCATTCCGTTCTTTTTATTTTCTTGCCTTTTGATTTTCTTCTCTGTTGCACTGGCAAAAACTTTCATGTTTTAATGTTTTAAATTTTAACTATAATTTTCAGTACTAACCCTTTTCTCTGCAACCATTTTTACATTTCATATACTTCTGCAGAGAATGTCTGTTTTGTCATTCATTTTACATATGCTTACCTGGTCTTCCTGGTACATTTATTTTTTATAATTTAAATGTATGGGTCATCTCTCTTAAAAATTGCTTCCATATTCTTGTTTGTGCATTTTAAAATGTTGAATAATTTCTGATTGCATTCTGGAAACTCTACTATATTATTTAGATTAGATTTTGTTAAAATTCTCTTGTGAATAAGTATTTGTTTGCTTTTTTTCTTTAATGGATCATCGTTCTCATTAGATGGGAGAAACATTTCCTCTTGTCTTCTGTAGACAATGTTTCAAATGTCAGCTTTGAAAGTCTTTCATTTGCTGCACTGTGTTTGACCTCAAGTGTATCACTGACTAGAAAGAGATTTGTGCCTTTGGAGGTTAATGTGGTACCTACATAATAGTTCAAATTACTGTTTGATGCTCTTAGTCTTTACAGCATAACTTTGAAAATCCATTTACAGCTTAAAATCTTATGTTTGTTCTCTGCCACATTCTCTTGTCTACAAAAATATATAAACTGAGCATAAAGAAATGGAGATAGAAGAGGAAAGAAAAGGGGAAAGGGAAAGAAAAGTGAACACATAAATAGACGAAATAACAGGTATTTCTTCACAGATTTTGTTGACAAAGGCCCCCTTTTTTAGGTTCCCTCATCAGAAAAATGAGTAAATTATTGATATTTTATTTTCTTTGCTAATTATCACACAATTCTGTAATTTTAGCTCAACCTTATCTAAGACTAAAGATATGAAACAGTACAAACTCACATTTGCTTGGATTTCTTTTCTTTATGTTACTTCCTTTCCTACTTTGCTTCTTTCTGATTACTTTACAGAATTCTTAAGAGTATAATTTTTATTACCCAAAGTGTTTATTGTACTTAGAAATGATCTTTCTCTAACTTACACCAAACTAAAAGTTCCAGATTGTAGGAAGGAAGTTTTATTGACCTTATGTTTTTCTGTAGATGTATCCTGATGTCAGAAGGTTGATTGTTGATTGATAAAAGCAAAACAAATCATCTGTCATAGAGCCTCTTGGTTTGATAGTGGGAAGCACATTTTGGAGTCAGATGGCCTGTTGTGAAGTCCAAAATTTTAAGGAAGATGAAAAATGAATCAGTGGTGACTGAATTTATCCTTCTGGGCATCCCGCACACAGAGGGCCTGGAGGCCATGCTCTTTGCCTTGTTCCTGTCCTTCTACATTTTCACACTTACAGGGAACCTGCTCATACTTCTGGCAATCGTCTCCTCCACTCAGCTTCACACTCCCATGTACTTCTTCTTATGCAAGTTGTCTGTTTGTGATATATTTTTCCCTTCTGTGAGTTCTCCCAAGATGCTGTTCTACCTCTCAGGGAACAGCCGAGCCATCTCCTATGCAGGATGTGTGTCCCAGGTCTTCTTCTACCACTTCCTGGGCTGCACGGAGTGCTTTCTGTTCACAGTGATGGCCTATGATCGCTTTGTTGCCATCTGCCACCCTCTGCGCTACACAGTAATCATGAGCCACAGAGCGTGCTCCATCTTGGCCGCAGGGACTTCATTTTTTGGCTGTATTCAGGCCACCTTTCTCACCACGCTCACCTTCCAGTTGCCTTACTGCGGCCCCAATGAGGTGGACTATTACTTCTGTGATATCCCGGTGATGCTGAAGCTGGCTTGCGCAGACACCTCATCCCTGGAGATGGTGGGATTCATCAGTGTTGGCCTCATGCCTCTCAGCTGCTTCCTCCTCATCCTCACATCGTACAGCTGCATAGTGGGCTCCATTCTGCAGATCCGCTCTGCTGAGGGCCGCCGCCGTGCCTTCTCCACCTGTAGTGCCCACCTCACTGCCATCCTCCTTTCCTTTATGCCAGTGGTCCTCATCTATCTACAACCAACTCCTAATCCCTGGCTTAATGCAACTGTTCAGGTCCTAAACAACCTGGTCACCCCCATGCTGAATCCCTTGATTTACAGTTTGAGAAATAAGGATGTAAAATCTTCCTTGAGGAGGGTACTTCAGCAAGTGACTCTCCTTTCTGAGAAGCGATAGAAGATGAGTAACTAAGACTTGAATGACTTCCAACTGCTGCAGAGCTGATCAAAAGCTATAGTGGGGGTATGGCATCCATCATGGAACACTTTAGGTTCCTCAAAAATTTGTTCAGTTTTTCTTTGTGTTGCTGAATATCTGTGGCTGAGAAGGGGACCCAAACTAGGACAGTACCTTCAATACCTACCATTTCTCACAGAGATCAAATGGTATCATACGTGGATGTTGAGTTCTTTCAGTCTGAAGTGTTATGGTAAACAGATCCTGACCCAAAAAAAGGTGGGGCTAGGAGGTGGTCTTTATCTCCTGGGACTCATTGACTATGCAGATTGGTAAACAGGTAGCCTTGCAGACATTAATTTAACTCAGTGTCTAAGAAGTCATTTAAGAAGTGAGTCAGGTGGAATGCTTAAAGCATATCCCAAGATGGGTCTGTGGGCAGGAAGAGTAAGAATTACTTCACAGGAACCTTACTGAGAATTCTTGGGTTGGTGCCTACTCCTGAATCTTACAGGGCTTCTTCTTGGCCTGTCCTTCACCCCTTTAGCCCCAGAGTGTCCTCTAGTAAAGTGAGCCCCCTTGGAATTCTGAGGCCAAATGTCTCTCTCTGGCCTTGTATGGGAAATCAGGACTGCTTCTCTTAGATCTTTACATTTTCCCATTTGGAAACAACCCATCTCCTGGATAGAAGGTCTGGAGCTAGGGTACCTTATTGGCTGGATGCCCCTAGCCAATTATAAAATCACCTGACATCACACTGTCTGTCTAAAGGGAAGGAATAGGTGTTTCTATCAATAAAATCCTAATAATCTTTGCTGGATAGTTGTCTCTTGAGAACTGCAGCTGACAGAGGTAATTTGATAACTGACCTTTACTTGTGACCCACTATCTGGGGGACCAGGGTCTGTGGGGCCCAGTAAGTATTTCTCAAACCATTGCAAATACAGCAGGTAGAGCTTGCTTCCTTGTTTGCTTTCTTGCTTACTTGCTTGCTTTCTAAGAGCTAAGGAAAGTATAATTGGTGAAGAATCTCACACACCACTAAGATCAAAGAAGAAAGCATCTGTGCTGCTATTGTCCTAAGAGAAGTAGGATTTGGAACTGTGCCCCCCACTAGTAGTCCAAGAAAGAGCTAGCTTTAAACTTCTAGCTCTGCCTAGTCCCATTTCTTAATCTCAAATCTCCTGCATTTTCACTAGCTCATGCCATGAAAGGATGCAAGTTTCCTGGTAAATGAAAACTTCATAAGGGAAAGTTAATTAGCCACCACAGGAATAAACTTGAAGCTAAAAATCATTATAATAGTAGCAGAATCAAGTATGGTGGTATGAGGAAGAAGGCTAATACTATGGGAGAAATTCAGAAGTGCTCCAAGAAAATCTACATGCTAGGATCAACAGGCAGCCCTATGACTCAGAAAGGTGGTGGCGCATAACTCAGAAAGGCTTCCTGCAGACCTATGGACCTTTACAACACAGGGTCTGCATGATTCCACACACATGGGTGGGGTACATTAGGCTCCTCTCTCCTTCAGCTCTTTGCCTTCCCTGAATAACTAATATCAGATAAAAAGTTACAAGATTTGAGACAAGAACAGAAAAAAAAAAAATAGAAACCAGACTTCTCGCTGAGTCTACATAAGTGGAGACATTCACAGTTTTAATGTCTCTTTTTGTCTTTTGAATGGCGCTCCCGAGATATCACCATGGATAATTAGGTCTCAGGGAGATTTGTGAGTTCTTGAGTGTAATGAACAAAACAGTATTGATATTGCATACAAAACTACAGAAAATGCAACTAAAGTTAATGAAGTTTAAAGAGTGAAGTTATGCTCAGAATGACTGGCCTCATGTGGGCAGAGAGGGGGACAGTACAGGTGGAAAGGAAAATAGTGCAGGCACTGATGTGTTGAGCTTAAGGATTCTGGAAGAATCTTGGTACTACACCACCTACCTGTGTGTCTTTCAGAGCATAACTGATGGTGCAGTTGACAGGGTTGTGAGTTAAGGGGTTGCCCCGGAATTGTTGCCCAAATTTGGTAAGTTGAGGGGGAGTAGTTTCATATCTCTTAATCATGTTATCTATATTAATGCTGGCATAAAAGAAATTTGCTTCTGTGTAAGAGGGAGCACAGATATCTTCTTTTATATATTAAGCTAAGACTTGAATTAGGGCAAATTATTCAATGCCATGTAATATATAAATTACCCAAGAAGAATTATTTTTCTCATTTTATATAATATCTTGAACCTTTGTTACATTTCTTATCTTGTTCCAACATCCTTTCCTTCTCTTCCTCATTAATCTACTTCTCTTTCATGGTCATGATTATTTAATGTCCCTTTCAAATACAAAATTCAAATAAAGTCTCTTTCAATGACATAAGACTTGCTGTATTTGTTTTTATTCTGAGTCTGATTTATTTCATTTAATACAATGATCTTTTTTAAAAGTTATTTCATTTTAAAGAATAAAAATCAAAGCAAAAATAAAAAGCAGATACAAATACAGAAAGAGAGTAACATGCAACAATACATATGTTACAGATTTTCAAAGCAAGAATAGTAAATTAACAATAGTTTTTACATTGCCTGTTTTTGTCATCAAATCTGTTGCTCAAATTAACGGATATAGTTATGCAAGATTGAACAAATAGTTGAATATTAACACTTGCTTTCAATAAACCTTAATTTTTCTTGTTTTTTTATTTTTTAAGGTATTTTTCTGGAGAATATAATAATAATTGATAAAACACTAGAAACGGTACACATTTAGAAGACCAAGATAAGAGGTATTCAACCATGGCTTTTGTATTACACATTGCTGTCCTTGATATAGTTCCTTAGAGTACAGATATCAGCATACCATTAGTCAAAGTGAAAACTCTAAATATGAACTGCTGTTTTCAAAAAAATGATGGAAATTATAAGTACAATCACCTCAGACTTTAT